AGCTAATATAAAGAGAAGCATTACTCTATGGTGAAATGTACTATATAAAATAATATTATATCTTAAATTTCATTTAGACAGATGGGATGACGAGCTTCGTAAATTATATTTATCAAAAAATGAAGGATGGTTTCAGATTTGAATATTGATAGATGCAAACAAATCTTGGGCGCATCGTCTTGCAACCCCAGTGAATCCGTGCTGAGCTTTCGTCTTTCATCATAGTCATAAACTATCAGTTACGAAAATTCATCAACACTAAACCAAGAAAAATGCCGCCTTAATCGAACATATTTAACATACCTAATTGTGAGAGCTTAATAAGCCCTAATGATCTAGTTAGCGAAGAATTAGTGACGACACATAGGAAATGAAGTTCATAACGGATTCATCTAAGTATGGTGCGCCGAGGATTAGCAAAATCGAGGTCACAACTCCGGCTTCCGGTAAGGCCAATTTACAAACTCCTTTATCCTTCTTTTCAAATGAAATTAATGTACAATAACATAAATTTATCAGATTCTCTGAAATCCAGTTTATCTTCACATAAAATCATGATTCAACATGAGTCACTTATGACGGCTGGTCGAATTATAGCAATAACATGCATATAGAGAATCATGTCGTCTAATTTCACTAAACCTAGTCTATAAAAGGGCTTCCTTATTCAGGATGGGCCATAGCCTAGGTCCATCAGCCTTTTCAACGAAAATCGAAATTTGGCGGCTCGCACTAAGTGGCGACGTTACCATTCTGCAGCCCAATAATGGATGTCATCGGTCCACAGGGGAGATGTGACATTCATGGTAAACTCATATTCATCACGATCAACCATATTATTTGCAGTATTTTGAAATAGGCCCGGCAGAGAATTCACAATGATGTAAAAATCAACTAGCTGTTCTAAAGTAGGATAAAATAAGATAATAATGTAAATCATGTGATATAAAATAGATTGTCATTATCCGAATGCATTAGAGATAGAACTCTTATGATATCAATGATCAAGGGTATATAACTTACATAATTCGAGCGTATAATAACACTAAAAACATCGCTTTTTGCGATAACTTAAGAATTCATCAAATAGGCTAATCTAAAGAATAAAATGTGACTTATGTGAGCAATTAGATATATATGTAAGAAAATATTTTCAGAGCTCCCAATGAATACGCCAAATAGTGACTCTGTAAATCAAAATCACAATTTTTCCTCAATTTTGGGTAAGATCACTCTCCAATAAAAAATGCTAGATATAAAAGCATGTTAAAGTGTTAGAAGTGAAGGGAATCAATTACTTTCAGCCTTCTTGAAAAGGTGGTCAAGGATAATATCTTGTCATGGGGGGTTAAGTGAATATGAGTACTAACTTTCTCTGATTTATTGGATTCGATCGAAGCCTCAAGTGCTCGAATAACATCAGGGTCATGTTCCTCTCTCAATTCAGTGGTACATGCTGGAGAAAAAATTACACAAAAAATAGATTTACCGGATAATTAAGAATCTATAATTAATCGCAAAAACTTAAGGTTCATAAGTAATGTTAGCGGCAATTTGGGTGCAGATAACAAACGAGCACACAATATCACGACAATGATGAGGCTAAAGTGCACCTTAATGAGAATTCTTGTGAGACAAAAATAACATGAAGAAAAAGTTACTTTCCAAGAAGCCCTTAAAAATTTCGACTTGACTTTTATTTCGAAAGAAAAGTTCGTTTGTAGGGATTTATGATTTGATCTGACAGGCCTTAGGGTAGAGCTTGATAGATTATACAAAGTACTCGGATCACCGTCCTGCGAACCAGATGAAGCAGTGTTGAACTTTCGTCTGTCATATGACCGAAAATCTAAGAGCGAGAAAACATTTTTTACATCATTATAAGAAGCCCATAGGTTGTCGGATGTAAGCCTACTCGTGTCTTAAACATAACTTTAAAATCTTAATGAGGAAGCATATAAATTGGTTGGCTAATTCCTGCTAACCTTAACTACTTATAAATAAGTAAACTCGATGCAGCAAGAGGTGGATATGGCCACAGCTGTTTACTTACATAAGCCTATGTGAGGTGTGAAGTCTAACCAGATTCAATGCCATTGAAGCCTATTCTTGCCTAACCATTCTTTCAAATTCTTCGCCCTCCCCTCCTCAAGCATGTCCAACAGTAATAAATAGTTCCAACTCGATTTCATAGACCCTTTCTCCCTATTCATGATGTTGGCAGTTTTATTTATTTATATAGGTTTCCAAATCTTATACCTAGATGTTATGTCTTCAAGGCCTGATAAACGCAGTTTTTAGCATTCTATTACGTGTTCTGTGTTGGCCATGTGCTCAACCAATTCAGATACTTGGACCCAGACACCTTGACAATCGGTTTTCTGTTCAAAAAATTTCTTCTTATGGGTCGGTAGGTCTGGCTTATACAGGCAGTATAACATGAGCGCACAACCTCGTAACACTCGCTTTGATCAAGAAGATTCGAAAATTCTCGAAAAAAGACATGATTGAAGTGTTAGTTATTCTTCATACACCATTCTGATGTTCAATTTCCTCCATAGCTCACCAGCCTTTGCCGAAAGCTGACAGGATGGTAACGTCGGAAACTGAGTTGTTGACATAGGGGCTCCATAATATCTAAGTCGGAAGAAAGTCTAAGCTTGTAAATAGACAGGGAAACGATTCGTTGGCTGACATTTAGTACTCCAGTGAGATCTTAAAAATGTAAAATCACTACCTTAGAAATGCAATATAATAGCTTAGATCTTTCGATTAAGGCCCCACTGTAGGAGTCAAAATAATAACCTATTTCGTCATTACATAGAACGTTCCTCGAAAAATTTAAAATATGCTTCAAATATGGTTAATTTGACATTATTTGACAACTCCCAGAAAAAACTCTCGACATCTACAGATGAGTCAGTTAATATAAATATAAAGGAGGGAAATTACAAGAGGCCAATCAATTTCACATGGCATTCATCTGTATAATTAAGTACTTGAACAAAGAACTGGTAATGCTACAGGAATAAGATGAATAATACTCATATAACAGCCAAGTAACAAAAAAATGTGATAACAATGGACTCACTCGGTTTTATAACAAGAGGAATAGGAAGGGGAAGCGGAAATGGCATAAGAAAAGGAGTCGGTCTGGCGTACATATAAACTGGTAGAGGAACATAAATTGGCACCGGAATTGGAATAGGCAAAAACAGCGGACGTTTGTCAGAAGGAATTGAAGCATCGTCTGATTCTGCATTCATTTAAGTAAAGGGAATAATTCATAATAGAAGAAAAGAAAAAAAGGATATCAAACGAGTAAAAGGAGAGATTCAAACTCAGTTTGTACAAAGTATAAGGTCAATCTAGAATTAGTTTGGCAATAAGACATGTCTTATCGAATATGCATCAATACCTTTCTTGTAAGAGCAGGATCTATTCATAATATTTCATGATGAAAACTAAGTGATTCCACTCATTGTGAGTCACAAGAATTATTCATATTATTTATTTGATGAACTCAAGTAATCATCATGAACGCGGGTTCGATTGAACATAAAAGTGTATCGCCAAGAATATAGCCTAACAAAAAATAAAGTTTGTGCCAATATTTCCATTTTTATTTAGTGCTTTAACAGATAAATATCTGTCTGTGAATGGATTTTGCAAAGGAAATCCAAACAAAAATCATGTCTTGAATAATCAAGGCGTTCAAGGGCTTTTGAACTCTAACCTCAATCAAGCACAGGCTAAGACCTGGAATGCAGGATGATCTACCTGTAATGGGATCAAGGCCAACTGAGACGTAGTCATGTTGAGACAAAGCCAGAGTATCGGTTTGTTGGTCAGAATAAGTTGGCTCTAATGTTTGAGAAGCTTCTGCTAAGCTAGAGAAAATAGGCTCTGTTGTTGTGTGAGCATCTTGTTGCGTAACGGCCGTATCCTTACCAGCCTGGGAAAGAAAAAAGATAACAATATTAGCTAATGTCATATCCAGGAGAAATCATACATTAGGTTTAATCAATATGTAAGAGACAATGCTCTGGAAGTATGAAACAATTACATTTTTTTCGTTATCAAGTAGTTCTTCGAGACTACCAGTAAAGCAGATATATGAAATGTGCTCACCCTATTTCGTTTGAGATGAAGGACTGGTAGTTAAATTTTCCCATTATGATGAGTAGAGCTAACGTTTCCATCGAATTTCACATAAGATGAACACATCTCATATATATGATTCACTGATTATCTCGAAAACACACTCAATAACAAAAAAGTAATGTAGTCTATTGTTATAGCAAGAATACGTTTGCTTCATCGACAATCCCACTAAGGAATGTGATATGAGAAAGGGCCTGGCCTTCCTTGAAATTCAAATCTACCGTGACCCAAAGGCACTCATGGCAATGTGGCCGAGTGGTTAGCGTGCCAAGCTCACATGCTGCACCGTCACGGTTCCACTCCAGCTGGGGGTGTTGATAAGACCTATGCGAGGTCAAAGCTGCAATCCACCCTGAATGATAACAACTTTTGGGAAAGCTAGGATTATCTCAAATCCAGCTTCACTTCACATTCTTACTATTATTTATTTATCTGCTTTGT